GGGAAGCCACGGATGCATCAAGCGCAGACGAGCAGTCAAGCTCGTCATCCCGACACAAAGAGGAAGTCGTGCGTAGACGCAAGAGGAAATATTGGTCAACTGCGGCGAAGGAATCCTCGGTCTCAAGTACCTGATTTCCCATTGAGCCGGGAACGTTACGATACGCCCCTGGTCCCGGGTTTGCGATGTTACAACGCGGTGCGTAGCCCTTGAATCCTGGGGCGAGAGCTTGGCCTGCCTGCTCTCGTGTCCCCGTCCCAAAGGTAGTCACTGGCCGTGCGGCTGACGACAAGTGCCAAGATACCTGTATGGGCAGGACAAGTAAGTATCGCCGAAACTGGAGCGGTGAAGTGGCTGAGGAAAGGCCAGTCCCGTTTGTGTATTTGATTACCGGGTGAGTCAGCATGAGCAACACGGAGCCCACAACACGTGTGTACAACACTGGTTGACTATCTATGCCGGGGGCCAGTCCGCATTCTTTCGCCGTTGCGCGATGGGTGCTTTAACAATTGGGTCCTTCGGTCGCACATTTTTTCTTCCCTCGAGTTCGGACCCTTACAGCAGTAAGACATCATCTTCCTTACCGAACAGTCATCGAAAAGAAACTGCGATTTGTTTTAGCCCCGGCAAAGTTGTAGGGAAAGCAACTGCCTCCCCCTGTCTTAGAGCTCTTTACGGGGGTTCCTCTTCCGAATCTTCTTCGATATCTTTTGGCACCAAAACGCGTAGCCAGCTAAAGATCGTTGTGGCATCTACGTTCAACACTGTCCATGAGTGCATCATGCGTGTTCTAGCATGGCAAGCAACTTGACTTACTGCGTTGCAATGGAGGGTGTCGTGTGGACATCGCCAATTGTTTTCGGACATTCACCCAGAGGAAAATCCCGTACCGGGGTGACTACACACGTTCATTTTTCTCTTTGCGTTCTTGACTTCTCCCCTCGGGAGGTTTGCTGAAAAAACGATGTCACTCCAGGCGCGAAGTAAAAGCGGAAGTCGGTATCTCTCTCGTCGAAAACGCGAGCACCACGGGGTACAGATCTGAAGGCATCAGTGAACGTGACAAAAAGTTCTGACGGCATGCCGACGCTTGTTGAGCTTGCAGTTCTCTCTCACCCGACTGTCCCCCGCTGAAAGAGACGAGTTTGACCTCTTGGTGTTCGATTCTCTCTCTCTCGACCCATCCGCACGTCTGATTCGGATGTACACGAGCATACAGTTAAAAGGTCCAGAGAACGATAACCAACCAATGTTTTGTAGGTGGGCGGAGTCCATCGATCCTAAATCATCCAAACGCGTATGGGCCGCCCTAAAATGACTTTCCTTCGTGAAACATAGTCCTGGGTTAATTATTCTTTCTACGAAAACGGGAGGAAGTGTGCGACAAGGGTCGTACTAGTACATCCTACCGCACTGTTGGTGTCCTCGTTTGTTCGTTTGCATTCGACTTCCCGTAGCTATGCCAACTGCTGTACACTTCTGCCTGTGCCTTGGTACCAACCGAGACATTGCCGAAGCCCGAGTATTGCTTCTGGATGGTGTTGATCGAGGGTGTGTCGAGCCCAGTGAGGGCAGCTGCCAGCTGTCCTGCCCCTAGGTGTCGGTGAGCGGGAACCAAGCAACAGCCGATGAAAGCTTGGTGGCTAGCATTGGGTGTAGGCGGTGGGGGGGGGTGTACTCATAGTCGTGCATGCCGTAGTCGTTAGACCATTGACCTCGCATCCCTACAAAGCCGGGACGGAGCACGCCGGGTTTTCACCGGACCAGGCTCTTGGTGGTGGGGGGGGGCATTAGTTTACTCTGACCCTGCTGCGCAGCAAGCAACCCTGGACTTGCCGAGATTTCGAAACTGACACACGAGAAGCGCGACAAACCTCAACAAAAAAACTTGACGTTTACTTTTTTTGCCTGTTTTCTTGTTTTTTTCGCCTAATAGGATCGTAGGGGCTACTGCTCTTTTCGAACCTTGAAGACTCACTTTCAATACACCTGATGCACTGATGCCCATTCTACGACAAGGTGGATGTCTTCGAAGCAACGTCACCTTGCGATAAGAGGGAAGGTGTTTTTCTACTTCGGCACGTGACGTTTTTCACGTGTTGTCTGACGTTCAACGCGGTGTTGAATTACCTGGCTGTCGACAAACCGGAACGGGGAAAGACTGAAGGGGTTGGGTTTCGCTCCGGGCCAAGAGCCCTCCTCGTCGTAGCTACCTCCGCAGATACTGTTAACCCCTTCAGCCTCGATCTCCCGCCGATGGTTCTGAGAGCGTCTGTCGCCAGTCGATCCCGGAAGAACCTTGTACCGTAGTAGCGTGGTAGGGCTCCGGGTGTCAGAGGTAGGAGGCCATAGCGGGAAGATAGATTACCGATCTTGTTTGACCAGCCGAAGTTACTCTACGTCATTGAAGATCCTAAACTTGGCACGCTCGGTGTCTCTTAGACACCTTGTGATTGAGCTCTGAATTCAGTGTATCAATACAGGTTCTGACCGAAAGTATTGGAAACGTGACAAAGGTTGATAACCGCATGCGGAAAGAATGAGAGCTTGGTTCAACACGATCTGCACAGCTACCGTTGAAGTGTGCATCGGTGTCGACGACTCCCCCTGACGCTTGCCCAGCTCCTTCGCGGCATCTACCGTGCTCATGTATCCAACGAGAACACCCACTTACGAATCCCCTGGTACTCGCTCGCCCAGGCTCCGATACCGATGCCGACGCCGCTGCTGAGTAGCACCCATTCCGATCCGAACCCTGCGTCGGCACAACTCCACACAATCCATTGGTTGTGTTTTCTTCGTACGCGCCTGGGCCTGGCGTATCTGATCGATACACTGCGCCAAAAGGGCCGGTCTGAACTCGGTCCACGTTGGCCAGGGGTCCACCAATGGTTATACCCGGTTCGCGCGTGGGAAACTGAAAAACAGGAGGATGCCATCTAAGTTCGTACGTGCCAGGACCAGGAGTTTTTCTCTTGACGTATGCCACGGCATCCTTCCCTAAGAACAGCTTGCTGAGATCGTCGCGGTTGGCTCTCCCGAAAACTACCGTGTGTGGCCGCTCGCATAGATCCCTTGCCTGCAAACACGAGGGGATGCGCTCATGATAAGGGATTTGACTATGTATGCTGTATCCAAAACAACATTGCAAGTAGTCTAGAAGCACAGCTTGAGGAAACTTACCCAGTGACGAGGTGGTGCACCTGTTGTGTCCCACGCTACGGCGGTGCAGTCCCGTGCACCTCGTCAGAAACAGCCAAGGGACAGCAGCAGCACACGACGTACTACGTGTACTGCTGTACATGTACGATAGGTGGTACCCTTTTCGGGCTCTATCGGCAGTCACGTAGTACACACATAGCACATCATTGTCACCTGTTCTTCAGCCTCGATAGCATAGGAACATGGGCCCGGCACAAATCCCTTATCTTCTGCCACTTTCAACGGTCCTGTTTTCTCTCGGTCCACCCTGTTGAGGGAACCGCCAAAAGCGACGGCCGGCGCACTCTTCAAACACTGGCGGCTGGCATTGCGAACATCGTACGCTCCAGGTCCCTATTCAAGGCGTAAGGGAGAAAATAGTCAACAGCAGCATCACATGTGCAGCAAGCATCCGCACACTTATCAGAGGCCAGCGCGGACATGTCGGTATGTCCACGATTATGTAACTGGGATCTCTCCTTTGCATTATTGTAATCTACAACAGCAGCCAGCTACGCACCGGTGTTCGGTAGCGGTTCCTATTGTCAACACCCATACTATGAACGACCCCGCCAAATGCCTGTTGGAGTGAGGGGAGTGGAGAAGGGAGAGCGGAGAAAATCGAGATTTTTTGAATCCCAACCGACACAAATCCCGCCGCCTTCTCTGTCCGTATTGGTCGCTTCCTGACAACAAATGGACACACAGACCTACACCAGTGTCGTCCAAAATGGCGAAGGATAGCGCGAAGGTGGATGAAGTCTCTCGGCAGGTGAGAGGTATGGGTATCTCTAATTTGCTGGTATTCTTCAACGGTGTGACAAGCACCGCGTGTCTACAACATCAACGGTCCTACAGCGCGCGAAAAGGCAGCTCCTCATGTACAGTTATCACCCCGTGCCGATCATCGTAAGCACCTAAAACACACGCTGATGTGCTGAAGAGAAAACACGGTATGGCGTGATGAAGCCCTCACTCTACGGGATGCCTCGAAAACGTTCTTGTCAGTGTACCAGCGCACTACTGTACTGCTGTAGTAGTAGTCTACTGCTAGTGGAATAGTCCAGCTTGATGGCAAAATCCATGGCGTACCACAAAACCCAATGGAATGCCGTGGTATGCCACGGCAGGAGAATTACTGTTTGACACACTTGCTTTTGACACCTGTGTATTAATCCGCATGTGGTGCGTGTGGCGAACTCATTCTGTTTGATATCAAATTCCTGTCAATGCGGGAAAAAGCATGCATGCTCTTCTTCCTGCTTACTGGTAACGGCGCAGCCAGTAGATACAATACGCCCCATACTACTTAATCGCACTGATAGATCCGTAGGCAACACATGGGCAACCTTGTCATTTTCGACATCCCGCAAATACCGCTGGGGTGTTCACACCTACTCCAGGGTTCTTAGTCTTCTTTCAGGAAATCACTACGCCAAGGGACTCCCGCCACTCAACAACATCCTTGATGTACTCCAGATTTATCTAGGACCACAAAACAAAGGAGAACGACTCTGTTTCCGAAACCTTTCATCCTCGAACAAGGCTGCTTGAGCTAGTGGAGTAAGCGGGTTCCTCTTCTCCCCAGTGTACTGATGAAAACAGGAGACATACGTCCATTAGTTGCACGGCGTGCCGGACACAGAGTCTCAATAGGGAATCGGTTACACGGCAGCGGCATCCAGAAGCTCCGACGTTTCGCCCCAGAACCGAGGAGTGATCGCTGCTTGACCGTACGTGCATCAACAGACTTTTGATCTGTAGTTTGTTTTTCGCTTGAATCTCCCTTCCGGCAGGCGATGTGGGCGGAGGTGATCAAGAAAGAGAACGCCACAATCGGTGTGCCCCACCGGTTCTTCCTCAACCCCAACAAGTTGGTATTCATCGCTAGGAAGCCTACGGAGGTTGATCCGAGGACGTACGAGGCGGACTCTTTGTCGACAGGGCATCAAGTAAGGACGTGTATGCCCCGTCCCATGTGATGTGAAAGGTGCAGGAAATTGCAACTGCCTATTCCAAGCATGAAGGTGTGCATTCCTTTAGAAACCACATGTCACGCACGGAACAAGAGGACGGCACACGTGAACGTCTTTGTGCGCAACGCGTGACAAACCGTAACAAGGGTTATGAACGTGTGGTGGGTGGATGCGTTGTCCTATGTTTTCTTCTGACAACTTGTCCTTGTGCGGAAGATATGTTCGTGAGGTGAATTATGCCATCCTTTCGAAGGCTACTGCGGTAGTACTCATGTGTTGTTTTGAGCTATGTCAGCGCGCAAGTACGTGGCCGTCCATCGGTCGTTTGGATCTTCGGGGTAGCTCCGGTAGTGGTATCTTTGGCAAGTTGTCATGCGTTCGTTCCGTGCTGTCATGTGCTCCGAGTTCCGAATGTGTCTTGCGACTGTTGCTCGCGTGCCTCGGTGTTTGTGATGCACCCTGGTGCCCTCTCTCTTCCGTTGCTTGTGTCTACGAGGACGAGCAATAAAACGACTTTACCATCTCTTCACATTGTCAACCGGGACAGCCGTGCTTATCCAGCAGCACTCGGCTTGGGGCCAATCAACACTCTAGAGTTTCTTTTGTGGCGTTAACGCCATAGTCTAGTGCGGGAGACACACAACATATCTGCGAAAGACTCTGGTAGCTCTGGCGGGGGCGAGGCCGGCCCGACTCACGAGGAGCTTAGGACGGCCATCGACGACGCCGTGGGCGACGCCAGCACCAGACTGGAGAAGATGGTGACGGAGAAAATGGAGGGCATCATGGACACCTTGCCACGGTTAGTGCCCGGGGCACCGCCCGCCGGAAGTGCGACCGCAGCGGGCGGCGGGGGGGAGTCACTGGGGAGGACGCACGCCTTCCCTGGCGCGGGTCAGCTGGACCAAGCGCCGAATACCGAACGAGGGCTCGAGGGAGCGAGAGGACTGCGAGGCTCGGAACCACGAGAGCCTTCGCCACCCGAGGGGGCTAACTCGCGGGAAGGAGTCAGCAGAGAGGAGCAAGCTTCACGGTATGCTTTCAGCTCGCATGCCGGATACCACGCCTTAAACAGTTGGACTTCGACGGAGGTGAAAAGAACTGGCTGATGTTTCGAAACGATTTCATTACGCAGGTGCAGACTTGTGGAATGGGTCGTGCCTTGAGTGACAGCATGGACATTATGGTCCTAGGCGTAGATGATGATGGCATGGTAGAGCAGGGAGTGGAAGTAGGGGAGATAGCCATGTACCGGAATCTGTGGGGGATGCTGACCGGAGCGATCTCCAACATTTCCACGAAAATGCTGGTTTACGATCGCAAGGGGCCCTCGGCAGCGTGGCGTGGGTTGGAAGAAACATTTACCCCGTTAACCCGCGGCGAGCAGATCTCGCTGATCGGTAAGTTTTACAACGCCCAACAGGGGAAGAACCAGGACCCCCGCGTGTTTTTCCAGGAGTTCAAGTCCGTAGTGACCAACCTAGAACTGGCATTTGACCAGCCCATCCCCAAAATGCTCGTACATGCACGGTTCCTCGATGCGCTTTCCCCGGAAGTTGAGATTCAAAAGCAACAGCTGCTCGCCCAGAAAACACTCGATGAGGAAGAGATTTTGAGAGTGCTACGCACACGGACTGGGCAACTGAAAGCGGAGGAAAAGAAGGGGAAGAGTGATCGCCGAGCGAATCATCATGCGTTCGTGCTAGTAGAGGGGAAGGGGGGAGGAAAAAGACGGTCGAAACAGAACCGAGGTGATGAAGAGGCGAATTTGGCCAGCGATAAGAGAGTCAAGTACTACGTCTGTGATGGGGACCACTATGCGAATGCATGCCCAGAGAAGCTTTGCCAGAGGTGCGGGAAAAAGAGGCACAACGCGAAAAACTGCCCATCGAGAACTGAGACGGCAGTCACCGCGATTGAAGTTGGAGTTAGTGATGTCGAGTTGGACGTCGCATACGAAGCACTCTGACGTTATCTAGATCTGCTTTCCTATCGGTGCATCAACGCCCCTCTCCTTTCGTACCTTGCCTGCAACTTGGCTCGTCGGCGTTTTCCTGCAAGGAGCCGATTTTGATGATGCGACTGACGAAAGTACAAAGGGGGATTTTTCTGGTCTGTCATTTGTCGCCGTTCGCTCGTTGTTTGTTCTTGTGTGTTTGATCGGGATACGAACGCAGTCCACAAAAACTCAACGTTGCCTGTCCGGTATACCATGCTCATCTCAGTATCTTCTAACCGCGTAGGTTGAGCCATGATGAGGCTCATTGCACGATTAAATACTGAGGATGGTGTGGCATTCCGCTGTCGTCTCACTTTGAGGAATGGTGATGCGCAAGGCATTACGGTCACACCAATTTGATTGATGATGTTCGGAATTATTTCCTAGTATCTTGTTTCACCGGGATATTTGCCTGAAATCAGGAAGGTTGATCGATGGCGACCAGCGTCTCTCATATTAGCAATTTCCAACAGGCTGGTTGGTGAACTGTGTGTGATTGATATGCTGCATTGATCTACTGATGTGTAGGCTGAGAGGGGGCACCCTTCCCTCACATGTTATTAATTGCCCTTTTTAATGACCTTTCATTGATGTACAGACCGAGGGAGGCACCTCTCACTGTCATGTGATCAACAATGGTGATCGGGGTTGTAGACGCGCCACGTTGCTGACAGCAGCTGGATACAGTAGGGATCCTGTTGCTGGGAGGGAGTTACTTGTGAAGGAGTAGCGAAAAATGTCTAGGTCCAGTGTCTCTCGAAACGGCGGACCGCTTGTGGTTGAGATAGTGCTTGATCTTCAGCTTGGTTGGTCGCCCTCTATATAATGTCATTAGGCGATGTAGGGTTAGGTTTTACGTTTTTCCGCTGCGGTTCGGCATTGGTGCTTATGGCTTTGGGCGAGCCGCGGTGCTGACATCAACTTGATACAGTAGGGATTCTGTTTGCTGGGAGGGGACTACTTGAAAAGGGGTATAACAATTGCCTGAGAGTTGTAGACGCGTAGGGTTACAACTTTGTGCTGTGTTGGTTGTGTTGACATTTCAATCAGCAGGATGACCCGTGGGGGCGGAGGGTTTTGATCCGGTGGCCGGGTTTCCCTTCGTTTGTTTAATATTGTTTACTTTTGGAGTTTTCCTATGAGTACCCTGAACACTTTGGGTTTTGAGAGCATTCGTAATGATGTACAGAATCAGGGAGGGTGTTCGTAAGGTGGATTATGCCATTCTTACGAAGGCTACTGCGGTAGTACTCATGTGTGGTTTTGAGCTATGTCAGTGCGCAAGTACGTGGCCGTCCATCGGTCATTTGGATCTTCGGGGTAGCTCCGGTAGTGGTATCTTTGGCAAGTTGTCACGCGTTCCGTGCTGTATGTGTTCCGAGTTCCGAATGTGTCTTGCGACTGTTGCTCGCATGCCTCGGTGTTTGTGATGCACCCTGGTGCCCTCTCTCTTCCGTTGCTTGTGTCTACGAGGAAGACCAATAGAACGACTTTACCATCTCTTCACATTGTCAACCGGGACAGCCGTGCTTATCCAGCAGCACTCGGCTTGGGGCCAATCAACAAGATATTGGTCTTGCTAAAAGTACAACATGTCATCCCAATCCACTATCCGACGTTTTTTGACAGGGCTCCCTTGAGTCGCCTTCGCGCATCAGACTGGCAGAGGAGGGCGATAAGAGCGACGAAGCCACCCTTGACGCGAGTAGTGCTAAACTATGGAAAACGGAATCCCAGCGATGGGGCAGCTTTTACGCTAAGAAGAGACCACCGGGGGTGGATCCCTTTAGCTCGCAGAGAAGCTGCTGGAGGAAACCACGTTCGAAATGCGACGTCACAGAATATGGAGACAGGTTGGTCAGCGGAAACATAGACGACAAAGTTTCGCCCCAGGGGTGTACTTCTGAAATACTGCCGTCCAATATGTCCTTGTTGTACAATCCAAATGATGACTCTCGAGAGAATTGGCAGGAGTTGCTAAAATCCTACCCAAAAGTTCATGGATGCGCGTGAAATGCTCAATGCCTCCATTTGGCCTGTCTCGCTTGATTTACGCCGTCAGGTACTGCGAGATGACGGGGGTCAGCCCCTACGCTAAGAAGAACTTGGACTCTGCGACCAAACCCTGAAAAAATCTGCCGTGTGAGTAGTAGGCTGGCGGGTGCGTAAGTTTCCTCGATTTGCGCGGGGGCCAATCGAACAGCACGGCACTTCAAGGCCGCGAGGGAAAGTATACCGGACCACCACTGTAAAACATTGCAACATTACACTGTGATGATGCACGCCTTCTTTTCGGGGCAATGTTCGATATTCTCTTGGTACGGCTACAAGATAAGCATGGTGCCAGATGGCCTACACGTACCTAGCTGTGCAGTCATGGCCCCCGGGAAACGGCCGATGGGCACAAGAGTAGTGTCGAGTTTGAATGAACAAGATTCATGTGGGGCACGAAAGGGGCGATTCACTTGGCGCAGGGGGCGAGCAGTTTGTGTCACGAACGAAATACGGGGAACATTGAACAGGGAATCGTTCAGGGAAGCGGCGGGGGGGGGGGGGGGGGGGGNGGGGGGGGGGGGGGGGGGGGGGGGGGGGGGGGGGGGGGGCAGCGCCTGGACCGCCAAACAATTTGCACCACCAAGAAATGTGATGGTCCTGACAAGAAGGCCGTTCAAACTACCGTGTAGAAGGTCTCCCTGGAGAAAGAAACACGTATCAGTCAGCATACAATGCGTCAGCTGCCATGGAAGGTACGCTCGATCTCCACGGACGAAGCTGAACTTATTTGTTCAATTGTGGGAGGTCGTCGTAGGCCTGCCACCCTTCTTACGGTCTTATCGTGCAGATCGGTTGGTCTGAGCGACGCGTAGGCTGGCCGCCGCTTTTTTTGGGAAACGACAAACACGTCCCGTTGTGCGACGAGAACAGAGAGTATTTCGAGCACACCTATGCATACGTGTAGTTTGTTTGCCGACATTGATATTCAGATACAGCAAACAAGAGTTTGTCGGAATTGCCCTCTTCGTGTGATGGGTGGGCCGCAAAATGTAGAAGTTTAGTTATTTCTTTGTGTGCCAACCTTAAGACCGTGGAGTCGGCCATTGTGTGAATGACGTGAACAAGGAGAGAGCCAATACGCTATTATTGCTGGTCGGTCGCCGGGGAGGTGGAAGGCAAGAAGTGGTTTGAGCCGGTACTTGTCGCGGATGATCTACTTGGATTTCTGCTTCTCGCCGCAGAACACCGATCCTTGCTTGTAGCGCACCGTTTTCTTTCTTGAACAGCTACTCCTTTCGATTGCGGCAACCAGTAAGAGCGTACAATCAAGGAACCTGCGCAAAAAAAAACAAGCATGGGTAGGTCTAGTTTACGTCGTGGGTTGAAGAGAACGAATGAAGCTAAAGCTTTATTTAATGCTGCAACTCGAACTTCGTAGGAAACCAATTCCGCAGAGATGTTTCTACGGTTTCCTCGAACAACAGACCTCGAACCTTCTGGGACGACTGACATGATGTAAAAGACTAAACAAGACTTATGAGCGAGAACGGGATGATATGATGCATCGTGCCGAGAGCGGGATGCAGCGAACGGGAAAGAAAAGAATGTAATCTACAGGTAGGTACAGTTAGTAGTAGAACATAGATATGAAGACGATACGATTACCCTACGCAAGAAGCTCTAGCCTATCACCAGTAGTACGTACGTACCACGCGATTAAATGGGTGGGTTCTGTGCGTGCCCCGCACGTTGTTTTCCTCTTATTCCGTTGCGATTGTCGCTGGGTGCATGTTTGCTGGGTGCATGTATGTATGTGTATAATCTATGCTGGTGCTAGTGCAATACAGTAAACAAGCGAGCACGATGAACAAAATGGAGCTTGTACTCACGTCCGACTACTACAACAGAACAACAAGTTTTAGGATTCCTGCTCTACTGCTGTAACCGACGACCTACTACTGCTGCTGCTTCTGCTGTGTGGTGGTGGTGGCGCCAGTGAACAATGTAGTATTATTACATAACACATCCCGTTCGACTGTGGGTATATCTCGAATGGGTAGTCTTTCTGTGCGTGTATTTTTTTGTCCTTAATAATAATAATATAATCTCTGCTGAAAACAATTAATTGCGCGCTCAGCATTGTTGAAAAATTCTATAATTCGTATACTATATGTTGTTGCTGCTAGATTATTCAGGCCCAAGTTGCTGGTTCGATCCACTCCATGTTGTGTTTTCTTCACCGGTCAATTCGACATAGATAAAAGCGAGGAATTGCGTAACTATAACACAAATATGAAATACGGGTTGAATACAATGTAGCAATGGAGGGGAAGGCTCACGCATAGATGTTTATTTTCTCCTCTTTCATTCACACCAATCCGCGCACGACCGCTTGCACAACCTGGTACGTTATGCGCGCTCGGCCTGTAACCCCCCCACGTTATCCCATGTAATAACCCCTGGTTGGCCGGAGGTTACACAACGCCCCTGTACAACCGTGCCCACTGGCCACCTGTGTCTGTCTCACTCTCTGTAGACTTTGTAGACACAGTCCGCTGGTTCGATCCCCTCCGCGTTGTGTGATGTCCCTGCGCTAGTCATGTCGGAAGAGAGGAATTATATCTGCCGATATATCGCTTGATTAACCCAACGGTAGAGTGGAAACACTTGAATGCAAGGGAGGCGGGGAAGCTCACACATTTTTTTTTTTTTCTCCCCCTTCACACCAATCCGCGCATAACATCTTTCGTAACCCGGCACTTCATGCCCGCTCGGCCTGTACCCCCCCCACGTTATCCCATGTAATAACCCCTCGTTGGCCGGAGGTTACACAACGCCCCCGCCCGAACAACCGTGCCCACTGGCCACCTGTGGAGCCTTTTCGTTAAAAGTTTATGTGTTTTTGTGAGCGGGCTGGACGGGATGCCTCCATCCATCCTATGCATACAATACTGGTGTACAGATGGCGCCCTCTAGTTTCGGCCAAGGCTGGGGTTCTTATTTTGCTGATCATCCTCCTGTGGGCTACAAATGACCGCTAAGTCTAGAGTAGCGGCGGGTATTAAGAACCACCCGGGTATTAAGAACCACTTTTTTTCAAATCGGGGTACCTCTCACTACATTCACGGAGCCCCTTGAGGTCGGATTCAAAAAAATGCGGAGAGCCAAGAGCTTTCGTTTGAGCACCTCAGCGTGGCAATTAGACCATTCACCCCCGAGATACAGCAGCAGCAGCAGCGCAGGGGCCGATGCGGCGGATCTTCGGCCTTCTGCTGATTTTGCTGATAAGCATGGGCCGCCGCAGGGTGGACGCACAGCAAGCCCAGAAGGCTTGTGAAGCCGTGAGAGGTGGCATGTCCGTTAGGAAGGCTGCTAAGGTCTATGATATTGATCGGCTTTCGCTCAAACGGCGCCTCGATGGAGAGGTGGCCATGGATGCAAAAGTAGGTCCTGGGACTGTCATGAGTGAGGAGGAGGAAAATTCGATTGAAGATTGTCTGCTGTACGCTGGTCGTAACTGCCTAGCTGTGAGTCGGCTCCACCTGCTGGAAACCGTAAGACTGCTCTGCCTGGACCGCAAGACCCCGTGGGATCCAGAGAAGGGCCCGGGGAAGGATTGGCTAGCTGGCTTCCTCGAAAGGCACCCGCGGGTTAGGGAGCGCACCACTCGCATCTACGAGGCCAACAGAGTCACCGATGAGAGCGAACCTCGCATCGTAGAGTTCTACAGGAAGTGGGCAGCTCTCCTCGAGGACCTCAAGCCGGAGGCCGACCACGTGCACAACACGGATGAGACAGGTGAGATGTACCTGTAGACTAGTCTAGACTAGTGTGGTATCAACAGGAGCTGTATTAGGCGAGCTCCTGTGCAAAGATCTCGAAGGTAGCATGTCAATATCTGGCGGAGTTCTGCCGTCGGCCGGACTTGCGTGCGGCGTTTTGGTGTGTACACAGCAGTATCTACTCTAGGACCCGGTCTTCATTGCATGGTTTTTGTGCGTGGGTAAACCTTCGCATCTTGTATGTGCCTTTACGTTTCTCTCCCCCTGTTCTCCTCCTCTCTCGCGATTGATTTAGGTACCACTCCGCAAGGCAACAAGACCATGAAGGCCTACTGTCAGGCAGGGCAGAAGGTGGTCGAGTCGGTTCGGGCCAACTCGCGAGAGAACACCACCTTGGTCACCACCATCAGCGCTGATGGCTCCACGTGGGCGCCGACTATCATCTTCAAAGGGCAGCGACTCC